AAAAAAATTATAGGCTCTTCTATGTGTCATGTCATATATGGGTAATTATGGCTCTCCACAACTTCTTACCTTTATAGCTCTTAGCAATGTATTTTTTATGACCCTTCCCACTTACTGTTCTATTTACACAAGTTCATTAGGTAGGTTACTCACTGTTTCCCCTCTTGTCCCTCTTGCCTTCACCATGTCATGTGAGTGTCAAATTATCCAAGCCTTCTTTCCTCATTATATGCCCCCAAAGTTTTAACCGTTTCTTTCTGATTCTAAGTATAAGTATCATTTTTGTTTCCTTTTTCCTTAAAACTTCCTTGTTGTTCATATGCTTTGTCCAAGTCTTCAACATCCTTTTGTAGAACTATATCTGCTATCTCAAGTTTCCTAATCATCTGTGAGGAAATTATCAACCATTGTCATATACGAGAATTGATATTGCATAGCAGTTAAATGCTCTTTTCTTTTCTAACAAAAATTGTAGGTTAGCATATATTAAATGATGAGGGGAAGATGGCCTGTGTCATAAAGAAATGATATGACACAGAAACTGGAGATAAATAATATTTACTTTTGTCACATGGAGGAATTGTAACAATTGTAAAAGTAAGCTCATGTTGTAATCTAGGGAAGGTTACTGAATAGAATAATCACACGAAGGTTGGTAATCAATGACAATACTTAGAACATGACCAACACATATAAAATTTGCCAGCGTCACATAGTAGTAGTCAACTGCTAGAAGTGAGTCAAATGAATTCCACAATGAATCTCCAACTGCAGACCAACATACAGTATTTACTACCTTATTTATGCGAATAGGGACATACCCATTATCGTCCATAGGTATGCTACAACAGGTTAAAATGTGGCATATGCCCTATAACTTTAAGGTGATTTTCTATTTATGGTCTGCTAAAGATGTATTCTCAAATACCTGATGCACCATGCATATTTCATAAGAGCAATAATTAAAACAAAAATTGATGATATAAATCAGTACTCAAAATCAAGTAAAAAGACAGAATTTCAAATGCCGATTTTTTTAAACAGGAATTTTCTTCCCAATTGGTATAAACTTTCTACCTTGTCTTGAGTCAAACCAAATACAAGAACAAAGTTGTAAGTGGTCTCTTTTACACTTAGCAGTTATGCATTTTCACCTGATGCCAGAAGTTAGTTTTCAAGCCCAGATAAAAGCCAGGATTTCAAATGCTTATTTTTAAGAATACATCCAACATACTTCTAAGATTGGTCTAACACAATCTTAATATTTCTTCCCCGACCCACTAATTAGCCTTTTGTCATACTAAGCTCCAGAACTAAGTAGCAAATGTTCTGCCCTTGACAGAAAAAGTCATGTATTTTTCCACCAGTGTCATAAGTTTGTATCTGTGTCCAAAATAGAAACCAGAGATTTGAATGCTGATTTTCAAGAGAGGATGTTCATAAATAAATCGACACTGATTAATGAAATAATGTGGTTACATTTGGAATTCTTACATTGTGACAAAATCTAACAAAGATACTGCTTGGGCAGTCTGGGTTCATGATAATGTTTTGGCCTTGAAGGCCATGCCTGACCCCAGGGTCATCATCTGATGACAGCTTTGTTAGAGGTATAGCAGATATTTTCCCAGCAACATGAAATTATATTTCTATAGAGAAGGCAAAATAGAATATTATAGCAAAAGTGTTGAAGCTAAGCTGAAGCAAGCAAGAATTTAAACAGGAGTTTTTTTTTTAATCTACATTTGCAAAAGCACTGAATCTAAAGAGAACTGACACAGCTACAATGAGAAACTAAATAACAGCTTCTACAGTTTGAGGGGTTGATTTTCGAAATGTCACTTGTTTTAGCATTCTGTTAAAGTTACTATATCTCAGCTAATAGAGGAGAGGAAAAAAAAAAGATTACATTCACACAATAAAATAAAAGGATTTGTGCAAGAACTTATGAGTCTCATGTTTAATTTTTTGCCATTGGAAAGGTCTACTCCAAGATAAAACAGGATGTCCAAGCAAAGGAAACACACATAAGATAGAAAACTATCTGATTGGTTTATTTTGTTTTACGCATATCAACCTCAATGGGTTATTTAATGTTAACAAGATGTTTAGGATAGGTTCATATGAATAGGATATGTATTCTTTGTAAGAAATCAGTTTGTAAAGAGGGATTTTGTTGAGAGTTAAAATGTATTGCTGGTATTTTGACTATAAAAATCTATTTTATATGTTTGGGGTCTAACTATTTGCCCATTGCTGAGACCCTAACAGGTGCTATCACCCTGGGTCACGGTGGATCTGGGAACAGCAGCAATTAAGAGCCGAGAGCTATCTAATTCCAACATCTTAATTTGCTAATAGAAACCACTTTGAAATAATTATCAAAGGAAGTGATATAAACTTACTGTTTATTACAAAATCAATGAAAAAAAGTTTAATGTTTATCTTATTAGCAAAGAGGATTTCATGATGCTAAATGTGGGAGAAAAATCATTGGTATATTGTTATAATTTATCAGTGATGAGTCTACTCCAACAACCAACAGAAAAAAAAATCCTTTATTTGTTTCTGGCTACATAATTCCATGTGTAGTGGTTTTGAGGTTCCCACCAGTGAGGAGTTTAGCAGAGAAATAATAACAACAGCAAGTTTAACCCTACAGCAGGCTAAATCTACACATGGACTGAACTAATGGCAGTATATTCAAGATGATGATGGTACGGCATTGCTGAGCCAAGGGCTTCCTAAACTGAAGTAAACAACCAGGGTTCCTCCAATAGAATCAACAGGTGTGACCAAGGTAAGCCTTCAAAGCCAGAGAAAATTGGCTGTGATCTGACCTGGAGAGGAATGGGTTCCATCAGATCTACTTTGCCCAAGACATGCTACGCATGAATGAATACATACCAAGACACGTGGATAGGGCTGATCAGGTGCTCAGCAACCCTACATTGTCAAGGGACTGATGATTTTGATATTTATGTGATGTAATGGAATAACCAGTCACCTCCATGAGTGACTACTCTATAGGTAGTAACTACATATAAGTATCTGTAAGTCAACGGACTACAGAGAGTAGCTGGGATCTGTTGAGTATGACTGAGACTTACATGAGAACTACCGACCTTCCAATAGTAACACTCACTACTGTATTGACTTGCAACAACCTTGTGCATAACTGTTACCATTATACTGTTTTTTGTTTTTTTTACAATAAACCTTTACTTATTTTATCCACCTTGTTTTTCAAGTATATATTCCTATTAGCATGGAATATAACATTATGACATTCATCCAATTCAAGTTACATAGTGTTTAGAAAAATGGTTTTGTATTGATATCACTAGAGTCATCAAATCACATAACATGGACTGCCTATGTGTCTATCAAAGTGAAAATGCTTTAAGCTTTAAAATTTATGTAAGATAAAATTAATGAAAATATAGAAATTAGATTTGAGGCAAATAGAGTAACAGTTAACAGATTTTATCTAATGTCACAATTATTATATATATATATATATATATATATATATATATACACACACACCAGTTCAAAAGTTTGAAGCGACCTGCAGAATTAGCATGGGATGAATTTGACAGAAGAGTGAAAAAAAAAAAAAAGAAAAAAAAAAAAGAAAAAAAAAGAGGTCTTAGAATCTTTGGAAAAAAAAATGAAGTCAATTATCAAACTTGTACTTTGAGAAACTTTTGCAACAAATGCCAAAAATTTGTGGTGCAGTAATCAAGGCTAAAGGAGGATATTTTGACAAGAGCAAAATTTAATCATATGCTTTTTTGTTTTTGTCATAATAAAATTTCTAATAAAATTCATGTCACATTTTTTTTTAACCATGTATAATAATTTTCTCTTATTTAAAGTACAAAACAACTACTTTTTGGGACAATTTTAAAAATTACCAGGGAAGACCTCAAACTTTTGAACTGTAGTGTATATATTTCATTGTATTGTGTCTACCAACTAACACTCAACAAAATTTATTATGAATATGAATGCAATGCCCAGATCAGGGGGTTTGCAATTGCATCTTCAGTGGTATCCAGAGTAAGCAAAAAATCAGAAAAAGAGAAGAATGTGAAATACTGAATATTTTTCTTTAAATTGTATACTTAGAATGAATTAAATTAAACAAACAAAAATGATACTTTATTTTGATTGACTGATAGATCTAGAAAATGTATAGTGACACCTAAGTAACACTAGATTTCTCAACAAATGAGCTGCACAATTAATATCATTCTATTCAAATTCCTTGGACAATACCTTTGACAATGTATGAATAAACATTTCTGGCATTTCTTTCATTTTCATTAAATCAGCACTGTTTGGATTAAAGTTTTTATAATAACTGCTTGGGTAGTTTACATTGTCACTTTGGTGTCTGTTTTATTTTTCAGGCTATTTTAACCCTTTAAGGCTGGAAGTGCCTAAATGCATCCACAAGTTTCAGATTTACAGTCTGGGATTGCCTGAAAGTGCTAGCAAATAGGTAGCATTGTATTGCAATACATAGTATTAACACCCAACACAGGATCAACAAGAGGCAATCAGACATTTAGAACTTCTACAAACTAGTAGAATACACAGGAGGCTAAATTTGATATCGTTTGAAATATAAATCAATTTGCTTTCATACAAGAAAATTTGTAATACTTGAATTTCAATGGCTTTCATGATATATCAATTTAATTGCACTATCACATCACATATCTACGTTTCCCAACAATTGGTCAGGACTCCTGGAAGTTAACAAGTGAAACCTCTTAAGAATTGACCAATAGGATTAACCTGAAATTAAAAATATGACCTGGAAAAAAAAAAAGTTCAGAGGTTAAAATTTTTTTTTTTTTTTTTTGGAAGGTGTGTATATGATTGGGGGGGGATCAAAATTTAAGACAGTTGGATTGGAAGTGGGTTGGGTTGAAACAAGGTGGAGAGCACCTGAGATTTTTGTTCTTTCGTCTCTTTTGTTGGCTCACTTGGTGACTGTGTTTGGGACTTGCTCATCAACTTCGAATCGCGTTCTTCTCGTCTCTGCTCTTGTTTGCGTTGTTTCTCGGCGGCCATGTGTGCCAAATCAGTCATGTTCACATAGGTCGGCTGATGACCACCTAAAAACAAGAGAGTGAAACGGTGCTTTAGTTTTCATTCAATTCAAATAAGCAGAGAGAAATGGAAACTGAATTAACAAAGAAAAACAGAGAAGTGGCTTCTGGGAAAGTGAAAATTACTGTAATAAATGAGCAAAAATTATATGAATTAAAAGGAATTGTGACCAGATTTATAAAATAAGAGAGAAATAAAAAAGAAAAACTTAGAAGCACCAGAAAGTATCTCCTCTCACTAGTCATTTTTTTTTGGTGGTTTATACAAATCTGATTAAGATAAATCATCTCTTGATTGTGTACATATTAAAAGATTTAAAGAAATAGCTTTCAGATTTTTTTAAGCTACAAAGACATTTACAATAATATCCCCTCCACCAAAGAAGAAAACCAGTAAGTGACTAAAACACTAAGTGTTAACCCTCCAGCCATTAAATTACTATACACCAAATTTCTTTATTTTTTATTAAGTTGCCTATTCTCAGTTTGGAGAATTCCATTCCTTATTAAATGGTATAGTCGTCCTAGAAAATGAAATAAGCTAAGGTAGCTTATTCATCAGTAAAGGTAGGTTCAACTATATACTATCTCCTACTACTACTACTACTACTACCATGTTCTCTTCATCCTCTCACTACTACCAACGCAACCTCCTCCTACTACCACCATCACTACATAACCAAGATGACAATGGTTGTA